TGAACTAGAACTGAACTAGAACTGAACTAGAACTGAACTAGAACTGAACTAGAACTGAACTAGAACTGAACTAGAACTGAACTAGAACTGAACTAGAACTGAACTAGAACTGAACTAGAACTGAACTAGAACTGAACTAGAACTGAACTAGAACTGAACTAGAACTGAACTAGAAACTGAACTAGAACTGAACTAGAACTGAACTAGAACTGAACTAGAACTGAACTAGAACTGAACTAGAACTGAACTAGAACTGAACTAGAACTGAACTAGAACTGAACTAGAACTGAACTAGAACTGAACTAGAACTGAACTAGAACTGAACTAGAACTGAACTAGAACTGAACTAGAACTGAACTAGAACTGAACTAGAACTGAACTAGAACTGAACTAGAACTGAACTAGAACTGAACTCGAACTAACTAGAACTGAAACTCGAACTGAACTCGAACTGAAACTAGAACTGAACTAGAACTGAACTAGAACTGAACTAGAACTGAACTAGAACTGAACATAGAACTGAACTAGAACTGAACTAGAACTGAAACTGATAACTGAACTAGAACTGAACTAGAACTGAACTTAGAACTGAACTAGAACTGAACTAGAACTAGAACTGAACTAGAACTGAACTAGAACCTGAAACTAGAACTGAACTAGAACTGAACTAGAACTGAACTAGAACTGAACTAGAACTGAACTAGAACTGAACTAGAACTTGAACTAGACACTGAACTAGAACTGAACTAGAACTGAACTAGAACTGAACTAGAACTTGAACTAGAACTGAACTAGAACTGAACTAGAACTGAACTAGAACTGAACTAGAACTGAACTAGAACTGAACTAGAACTGAACTAGAACTGAACTCGAACTGAACTAGAACTGAACTAGAACTGAACTAGAACTGAACTAGCACTGAACTGAACTTGAACTAGAACTGAACTAGAACTGAACTAGAACTGAACTAGAACTGAACTAGAACTGAACTAGAACTGAACTAGAACTGAACTAGAACTGAACTAGACTGAACTAGAACTGAACTAGAACTGAACTAGAACTGAACTAGAACTGAACTAGAACTGAACTAGAACTGAACTAGAACTGAACTAGAACTGAACTAGAACTGAACTAGAACTGAACTAGAACTGAACTAGAACTGAACTAGAACTGAACTAGAACTGAACTAGAACTGAACTAGAACTGAACTAGAACTGAACTAGAACTGAACTAGAACTGAACTAGAACTGAACTAGAACTGAACTAGAACTGAACTAGAACTGAACTAGAACTGAACTAGAACTGAACTAGAACTGAACTAGAACTGAACTAGAACTGAACTAGAACTGAACTAGAACTGAACTAGAACTGAACTAGAACTGAACTAGAACTGAACTAGAACTGAACTAGAACTGAACTAGAACTGAACTAGAACTGAACTAGAACTGAACTAGAACTGAACTAGAACTGAACTAGAACTGAACTAGAACTGAACTAGAACTGAACTAGAACTGAACTAGAACTGAACTAGAACTGAACTAGAACTGAACTAGAACTGAACTAGAACTGAACTAGAACTGAACTACAACTGAACTAGAACTGAACTAGAACTGAACTAGAACTAGAACTGAACTAGAACTGAACCAGAACTGATCTAGAACTGAACTAGAACTGAACTAGAACTGAACTAGAACTGAACTAGAACTGAACTAGAACTGAACTAGAACTGAACTAGAATGAACTAGAACTGAACTAGAACTGAACTAGAACTAGAACTGAACTAAAAAAGCACTTATTAAAATAGTAAAAAAATATAAAGAACTGCTTTCTTATCATAAATTGATTTGTAAAAGAAAAACATAATTTTGTTCAATTAAAATATTTGTTTAATACAATTTTTTAACAACATCTAAGTAGTTGTACTCATTTCAATTTAAAATCTAAGTGCGACTCGCACAACATTCATACATTTTTTTGCAATTTTGATTTACTACATTTATACTTTCCATTATCCCAAATACCAACAGCCACTTAAACATGCAGATTAAAATTTTTGATAAAAGCAAAACATCTAGTTTAAGTTATACTTGAATGAAAACTGAAAATAAGAAAAATTGCACTTTAATTTTAAAAGTGAATTACGTAATAAAATGTGACAAATGCTAACAAGATCTAAAATATATCCATTACTTGGATTTTATTTACTTTTTTCCAACTTCTTTCAACGCATGCGCCACCACCTCTAAAAAATTCTGCAATACTACTACCAGATGGTGGTATTATAGAAGAGAAAAAAGGTGGTGCCTTTAACTCAACAAACGCCTGTCATGCAGGCAACGAATGCAGCCTCCAAAATGTTAAAATTTGCACATGTGCGTAATAGATTCGACAAGCAAAAAATGTGTAATAAATTTACAAAATCCACAAATTACACACAAATCAATTCACATACATTTTTATTTTGCTACATAAATTAAGGTGAGGGAGTAACAACAAATGTGCAAGATATGTAGATACGACAAGATCAGGCAAACAGACACATTTTGTACATGTATTTAGAGTAGATGCATGAATAATGAATTGCTCTTAATCTTGTAAGATTTTTTGAATATTTTTTCTTTGTTTTTGCTTGATAAAATCTGTAACATAAAAACTTGTTATTGATAATGTTATCGAAATATCGAATTACATATTCAATACCCTACCTAAATTTACTGAGTTGGGTGTTATACATTTCTCCTACACCACAGAAGTAGTAGTTGGTTTTAACTTGAACAATTTTAAAAAAATGTATGTACGGCTGCGTTTAAAGCAAATTTTAGATTCTTTTAATCATTTTAATCCTGGGGTATTAAACTTAATGAATTACTTTGTATTTAGTTAAATAATATACAATTCGTCAACGAAGCAATTCTTAGTCTAGTCCATAGTCTAGTCTATAGTCTAGTCTATAGTCTAGTCTAGTCTAGTCTATAGTCTAGTCTATAGTCTAGTCTATAGTCTAGTCTATAGTCTAGTCTATAGTCTAGTCTATAGTCTAGTCTATAGTCTAGTCTATAGTCTAGTCTATAGTCTAGTCTAGTCTATAGTCTAGTCTATAGTCTAGTCTATAGTCTAGTCTATAGTCTAGTCTATAGTCTAGTCTATAGTCTAGTCTATAGTCTAGTCTATAGTCTAGTCTATAGTCTAGTCTATAGTCTAGTCTATAGTCTAGTCTATAGTCTAGTCTATAGTCTAGTCTAGTCTAGTCTATAGTCTAGTCTATAGTCTAGTCTATAGTCTAGTCTATAGTCTAGTCTATAGTCTAGTCTATAGTCTAGTCTATAGTCTAGTCTATAGTCTAGTCTATAGTCTAGTCTATAGTCTAGTCTATAGTCTAGTCTATAGTCTAGTCTATAGTCTAGTCTATAGTCTAGTCTATAGTCTAGTCTATAGTCTAGTCTATAGTCTAGTCTATAGTCTAGTCTATAGTCTAGTCTATAGTCTAGTCTATAGTCTAGTCTATAGTCTAGTCTATAGTCTAGTCTATAGTCTAGTCTATACTAGTCTACAGTCTAGTCTAGTCTAGTCTATAGTCTAGTCTATAGTCTAGTCTATAGTCTAGTCTATAGCCTAGTCTATAGTCTAGTCTAGTCTATAGTCTAGTCTATAGTCTAGTCTATAGTCTAGTCTATAGTCTAGTCTATAGTCTAGTCTATAGTCTAGTCTATAGTCTAGTCTATAGTCTAGTCTATAGTCTAGTCTATAGTCTATAGTCTAGTCTATAGTCTAGTCTATAGTCTAGTCCATAGTCTAGTCTATAGTCTAGTCTATAGTCTAGTCTATAGTCTAGTCTATAGTCTAGTCTATAGTCTAGTCTATAGTCTAGTCTATAGTCTAGTCTATAGTCTAGTCTATAGTCTAGTCGATAGTCCAGTCTATAGTCTAGACTATAGTATAGACTATAGTCTAGTCTATAGTCTAGTCTGTAGTATAGACTATAGTCTAGTCTGTAGTATAGTCTACAGTCTAGTCTAGTCTATAGTCTAGTGTACAGTCTAATCTATAGTCTAGTCTATAGTCTAGTCTATAGTCTAGTCTATAGTCTAGTCTATAGTCTAGTCTATAGTCTAGTCTATAGTCTAGTCTATAGTCTAGTCTATAGTCTAGTCTATAGTCTAGTCTATAGTTTGGTCTATAGTCTTGTCTATAGTCTAGTCTATAGTCTAGTCTATAGTTTGGTCTATAGTCTAGTCTATAGTCTAGTCTATAGTCTAGTCTATAGTCTAGTCTATAGTCTAGTCTATAGTCTAAAGTCTAGTCTATAGTCTAGTCTATAGACTAGTCTATAGTCTAGCCGATAGTCTAGTCTATAGTCTAGTCTTTAGTCTAGCCTATAGTCTAGTCTACAGTCTAGTCTATTGTCTAGTGTATATTCTAGTCTATAGTCTAGTCTATAGTCTAGTCTGTAGTCTAGCCTATAGTCTAGTCTATAGCCTAGTCCATAGTATAGTCTATAGTTTAGTCTATAGTCTAGTCTATAGTCTAGTCTATGGTCTAGTCTATAGTCTAGTCTATAGTCTAGTCTATAGTCTAGTCTATGGTCTAGTCTATAGTCTAGTCTATAGTCTAGTCTATAGTCTAGTCTATAGTCTAGTCTATAGTCTAGTCTATAGTCTAGTCTATGGTCTAGTCTATATTCTAGTCTATAGTCTTGGTTATAGTCTACTCTATAATCATTCAAGCTGGCAACTTTGAACATAATTTTTGGTAGCTCCCTAATTTGCTAATTTCGGTATTAATAAACGTAAATTATCACATGATTGGAAGTGGTTTACCTAAATATCCATACTAGTAATCGCACCTAGTTTTTTTTCTCTCTTAAACATTATTTTATACATATAATTTATTCAAATTTTTCTTTTCTACTTAGCTAATGTCTTCAACAATTAAATTTATATTAAAATAAATAAATTACAACAAATATATTAATTTATTTTATAAATTATTTCTCATTACAGTTAATGCCAATCCAATAGATAAAAGACCATTTTTACAAATTAAAAGTCCCTCCATAAGAAGACTGATAATATCGCATCCACATAAACCCTATTATTTACAGTGTAAAGCCTATATTGATGAGTCCTCCTATCAGAGTAAGTACATATTTCGATGATTAATCGTTTTTCGATTAATCACTAAAGTTATATGAGAGTAATAACATATTCAGAAAATAATTATATACCAATTTAAAAAAACACATTTTTACTATCGATGGTGCAAGGTGGACGTCCTTTAATTAAAATGTTTTTCGTATATGAGTTAAGAGTTATTGGACGTCAATCTTATACCTTTCTCTATGTTCTCTTAATGTTTGGTTTTATTTTAGATGAAACTGAATATTTTTTTACTTGGCTTTTTAACGACAAGAGTCTTAAGAATAAGAAACCAAATAATTTCAATATTTATCGCAATGGAACCCTAAGGATCTCGGGTGATGAAAAAATCAGTGGCGAATATCGTTGTAAAATAAATGCAAATAAAACTGCTGTAATATCGGAGAGTATAACGGTGGAATACGCTGGTAAGTTTATTAAAAATAAAGTGAAATATTTGTATAGCCTTCACATTCGTGATATAAGTTTGTGATTCCGTTTGTAGAGAATTTTCCGACCGTATACAGTATATATGTATGCATATTCCGAGTCCTTATATACATATACAGGAGTCGATTATGCTATGTCCGTCTGTCTGTCCTTCTGTTTGTTTGTTTGTTACAATAAATTTTCTGAAGACCACAGATATCTTCGGGACCCAAATTCTGTCAAACATACTTTTGAGAAGTGTGCTATTTAAAATGTTAATGATGCTCTTGTACTTAACCGTTTTTGTTTTGTTAATCCTAAAATCAGATATGGAAAATGGGTACTTCTTCGTTCTTCAAAAGTTACTTTTTGAATTTTCTATAATATTGAACCTACATAGAAACATGAAATTAAACATGTAGAACCCAGACTAAATGAGAAGCAATAAAATGGGACTTTTTGTACTTTTTCGTTCTTCAAATGGTACTTTTTGAATTCTCTATAATATTGAACCTGTAAAAATATAATTAAGTATGTAGAGTCCAGAGAAAATGAGAAGCTACAAAAGGGAACTCTTTGGTACTTTTTTGTTCTTTAACTGGTATATTTTGAGTTTTCTGTATTGAACCTAGAAACATGAAATTAAGCACGTAGAGCCCACAGTAAATGAGAACATATAATGGGGACATTTTGGTACTTTTTCGTTCTTCAAAACTTTTTGAATTTTCTATAATATTGAACTTTGAAAAAATATTAACCCTTTAGAGCCCGGAGTAAATGAGAATCTATAAAAGGGGACATTTTGGTACTTTTTCGTTCTTGAAGAGTACTTTTTGAATTTACTATAATATTGAACCTAGAAACCTAAAATTTAACATTCAGAGTCCTGAGTGAATGAAAATCTGTCGGAAAAGATTTTTTGTACTTTTTCGTTCTTCAACTGGTACTTTTTGGTTTCTATGTAATATTGAACCAAGACACATATTATCAGGCATATGTATATACTGATTTCCAAGATTGAACTCCAATGATACTAATTAATAGCCAAAATATTTTGATTATGTTCCACTGAAGGCAGCTATAGGACCTGTTTTGTTACCCTTTATATGGAAAAGTTGTAAAAGTTTTCCTGGGAAAAATACTTTTGGTTGATACTGTTGGTGTTGGTGATTTAACAATCTTTAGCCGATTGACAATCGTTTCGCCCTTAATATTCAGTTTAAACTAGTTAATAATGAGAATTTGTATTTAATCTAACACTTGGTATATTACCATTTCAAATTTGAAATATTTGCTCAAAAGATAATTATTTAATAATTTTTACTTTACATATACATACATATTTATGTACATATAATCTCATTTGTGAATTTTTAGAAAATGCTCAAAGGAGAATAAATTTATGCCGTATTATAACAATACTTAGAACAGTTTAACATAAATTATTTTTAATTACAAAACCCTTGAAGAAGTTTCATTTAAATATTCACAAGTCTTAAATGTAAATAACTTAATTATCATTATTGATTTTGGTTAAATGTAGTAAAGTACTGAGAGAGTGTTTCTGTTTGTGTTTGTATGGCAACATTTAAGAAAGTGTGGCTAATTAAGGACATACATACACACACGCACGTATTCACGCATTCTTATAAGGCACATGGCAAATTACATACATATATACGGTACATTGTATTGAATGTCTTAATAAATGAATATTCATGTAATTACTATAAATTTTTGTCCTTTTTTTTATTAAATATTTTTTATTTTCATAATTATTTCTTATGCTTTTTATTATATTTTCTCTTTTTCAGTACTCAAACGTCGTCCAGCCAATGTTAGTTTAACAGCACAGTCTGGTTTGTCCTTCACATTAAATTGTCCTATTTTTAGCATTCCACCTGCCAATGTAACGTGGTATTATGGAAATGTATCGTTATCGAAAAATTTCAATGAGAACAGGCGAGTAGAGATCAAAGTTATGCCATTAAATCGAAAGGAAAGTGTTTTATTTATAACTAAATTTTTTGTCTTATAAAACTAATTATTAAATAATTTGTTTTAGATTTAGTTACTTGTCTTAAAATTCCTTCGATTGATGTGTATTACTGAAGACTGTTTAATTTTTAATATTTTGTATGTTAAATTTTTAATAACTTTGTTTTTTTTTTCTTAATTTTTAACAGTTTTTTATTTTTAAACAATGGCAGTTTGGTTATAAGACAAGTTAAAGCAGAAAATGCTGGCAAATATAGGTAAGTAGTTTTACTCTGAAAATATTTTAATTGAATACCCTTAATTTTTGCTAAATAGTTTGAAATTCCTTATTTACACTTAATAATCATAAGTAAGAAGTATACAAAAAAATAAACTCTTTTTCAGTTGGTTGGCATTAATAATTGTTGTAATTACATAAATGTTTAACACAAACTGCTGCCGCCAAACATACAATTTCATAGAACATTAATTACACTGTTACATGTCTGACATTGATACCTGCTTAAGTATTAATATTTAAAAAACACACGAACGTAATTTTCAAAATAAAACTTATCAAACACTAACAGCAATTTAAATAGAGAAATTTTTGTTATAGATATAATTCATTCTATAAAAAAATTTCTTGAAAATTTTTTAAAAATAAAAATATAATTTTCTCAAAAATTTTCTGTTAAAACAGAATTTTTGGATATCTTTCTATAAAAGTGAATTTTCTCGAAATTTTTTTAAGAAACAATTTTTTTCGAAAATTTTGTATAGAAAGAGAATTCTCTCAAAAATTTTCTATAAAAAGAGAATTTTATACAAAATTTTCTATAAAAAGTATTTTCTCAAAGTTTCTATAAAAAGAGAATTTTCTAGAAAATTTTCTATAAAGAGAAACTTTTCTATAAACAGAATTTTCTCGAAAATTGTCTACACAAAGAGAATTTTATAAAAAATTTTCTATAAAAAAATTATCTTGAAAATTTTTATTATTTTTCAAAATTTTTTATAAAGAGAGAATTTTTTTAACATTTTTTGTTAATTTTTCCATATAAAGAGAATTTTCTGTGTAAAGAGAGTTCTCTCAAAGACTTTATATAAAAAGACAATTCTCTCAAAATTTTTTATCCAAAATTTTCTGTAAAAATAAAATTTTATCAAAAATTTTCTATAAAAAGATAATTTTCTCAAAAATTTTCTATAAAGAGAGAACTTTCTAAAAAAGTTTCTATAAAGAGAGATTTTTTTTGAAAATTGTTTGTTAAAATTTCCATATAAACAGAATTCTCTGGAAAGTTTTCTATATAAAAAGAGTTCTCTCGACAATTTTCTATAAAAAGAGTAGTTAATCCAAAATTTTCCATAAAAAATAAAATTATCCAAAATTTTCTATAAAAAGATAATTTTCTCAAAAAGTTTCTATAAAGAGAAAACTTTCTCGAAAAGTTTCTATAGCGAGAGAACTTTCTCAAAAAGTTTTTTATAAAGTGAGAATTTTCTTGAAAATTTTCCAAAAATTATATATGTATAAAAATAAAATTTTATCCAAAATTTTCTATAAAAACATAATTTTCTCAAAAAGTTTCTATAAAGAGAGAACTTTTTTGAAAAGTTTTCTATGAAAAGAGAACTTTCTCTAACTTTTCTATAAAATATTCTATAAAAAGAAAACTTTTCTATAAAAAGAGAATTTTCTCGAAAACTTTACTATAAAAAGAGAATTTTCTCGAAAACTCTTCTATAAAAAGAGAATTTTCTCGAAAGCTTTTTATAAAAAGAGAATTTTCTCGAAAACTTTTCTATAAAAAGAGAATTTTCTCGAAAACTTTACTATAAAAAGAGAATTTTCTCGAAAACTTTTCTATAAAAAGAGAATTTTCTCGAAAACTTTTCTATAAAAAGAGAATTTTCTCGAAAACTTTTCTATAAAAAGAGAATTTTCTCGAAAACTTTCTATAAAAAGAGAATTTTCTCGAAAATTTTCTATAAAAGAGAATTTTTTGAAAATTTTCTATAAAAAGAGAATTTTTTCAAAAATTTTCTATAAAAACAGAATTTTCTCGAAAATTTTATATAAAAAAAATTTCTTTCCTCTTATTCAGATGTAATGCCCACAATCAATACACAGCCAAAGAGCATCGTCAAGCTACATTAAATTTAAATGTTGAGGAAACTAGTGATGATCAAAGACCTCCCATTGGACAACTAATACCTCATTTACAAAATACCACATTATATGTTCCGCTAAATGATGATTTAAATTTAACATGTTGTACACCAACGGATGATGTTCCCATTGAATGGTGGTTTCATCAGTCAAGCGCTACACCATGGATTAAGTTATCGAATAATAGTAAAGAGTATCATATACGAAACAGTATTGAACAATATGAGGGATATTATACATGTGCTACCGTTAATAGTAATCAGGTTGGTAAAAATTTGTTCTTGTTTAATGGTTATTCCCTAACAATATATATTTCCAGACCTTTCATGTCATTGTTACCAGACCTCCTGTTGTTGCCCAAGAATTGCCCATGTATAAGGGTTATGCGGCCGCCACAATAGTTTACCAATGTTTAGTGACGGGAAATCCTCGTCCCACTATAACATGGTATCATAATGGTGAAGTATTTAATAGTTCCATAACACGTTATATAAATGGCAATCAATTGCATATCGAATCTTTTGATCCCGAGGAGAGTGGTATATATCAATGTTTTGCTCGTAATATAGCCGGTGAGGTTTATACAGCCGGTGAAATACGTCCAGATCGTGTTGTTGTTAAAGCAAATCCCCTAAAGAATATACGTTGTTTTGCTCATACATTTAGTTCGGTGAATGTAACGTTTGAAAATGAAAGTTCAGTGGTAAGTGAAGCTTTTACAGTTTTTATAAGAATTTGGAAGCAGTGTTGCCAACATTGGTCAAGCAAAACGCGCGCAAAAAATATTAAAAAGGGGTAAAAAAGCGTAATTTTCTAACTGAAAATGGGTAAAAAAGCACTAACGTTTTTTTTAGTCAAATATTGTTTATTTTAATAAAAATTGCACATTATTTCGCTCATTTCCTACAAGACTCCAAAATTCGTTTTTTAGAACATTGGGCAAAACAAAACAAAACATGTGTCATACTAAAGTCTTTCATCTGTGTGAGTTAGATTTTTAGTAACGTAAGAACTAAAACTAATGTTTGACGAATATTAGATAAATAAGATGAGAATTTTAAAAGTTATTTTAAAAATAGTAAAATGTCATTAAACATTCAAACTGACAGGCACACTACCAACTGGCCAACCGATGTACCCACACCCAAATTGTAAAATTGTACAAAACTTATGAAATATATTTTTTTTGCAAAATCTATATATATTATTTTTAAGTTTTTTGAGTTCTGGAAAAATTGTTAATTTCACTGATAGTGAATAACATAACTTATTGTAAAGTATTTTGAATATTTTGTTTTTTGTTTTTGAAGAATATTTGCTTTTAAAACTTAACACAAATAAAAAAAAAAACTTTGGAGCACCCGTGTAAAAAAATTTAAAACAGTTTTTAAGAAAAATTTTGTCCTTAGTGTAAACTGATCGTATTCTAATAAACAACAAAAAGTGGTACAAATAGAAAGATCAAAGAATGATCCCTCAGTTTTCTTAACATTATAGAGAAAATGTTTAATATTAATTAAATAAATTACCTCCTGAAATTCACAAATATTTTAAAATATTTTAACAAGAGTGTTATATTCGGCTGTGCCGAATCTTATATACCCACCATCAAATCTTATGCCGTAAAAGGAATGCTCCTCTGTAAACATCAGGGAGATAAGGCTTAATTCAATTATGTACGTGATCTTCAAATTAACAAAATATTAATTTTTAAAAACAAAATATTTTTGTCCAATTTTTTAACCATGAACATATATCAGAGGTAGTGACAATTATGAACTGTTTGTCGTAAAATTTGGTAGAAAGATTTCGTATAACACTTATTCGTTTCGAATTTCATTGCTGTTCTCGAATTTTTAATTCAGTCATAAGCGTAAAAGTTATTATCTAAAGGGGAACTTATATGGGGTTGGGACAATTATATATCGATACCCATAAAATTTTGTACATAGATTTTGTTTTGTTGGTCAGTTATAGACCAATCGTCATAAAATTCGGCATAAAGAATTATAATAAAAATCTTTTTATTGCGAGTACAACGATGAAGTAATCATGGAGGCTTTATATATGAGGGATAGGTTCAATTGTGTAAAAAAATTATATAAAACTTATTTTTTGTCAATTTTCATCGCTGTACTCATATTTTTAAGGGGACCTTAATAGGGGGTAGGGTACGCTACCGACAAATCCGAATTAAATTCGAATTTCTCCGCTATACTCGTATTTTTAAGTCGGTAATGAGCGTTAAAATCAATTTTTGAAGGTGACCATATGTGGGGGTAGGGTCAATTATGGACCGATTGCCGTAAAATTTGCTAGAGAGATTTTGGCTTATATAAAACATATTTATGTCGAATATTTTTAAGTCGATAATGAGTATTAATGTCATTTGGTAGAGAAATTTTGATGCATATAAAAGTTACTTATGTTGAATTTCAACGCTGCACTCATAGGGGGACCTTATTTGGGGGTAGGGTTAGTTATGGACCGATTCCCATAAAATTTGGTAGAGACATTTTGACTTATATAAAACTTATTTATGCCGAATTTCATCGCTATAACGTATTTTTAAGTCAGTAATGACCGTTTAAATCATTTTCTGAAGGAGACCTTATATGGGGGGTAGGGTCAATTATAGACCAATTTCTATAAAATTTAGTAGAGATTTTGGCATATATAAAACTTACTTATGTTGAATTTCATCGCTATACTCGTATGGGGGGTAGGGTCAATTTTGGACCGAATCCCATAAAATTTGGTACAGAGATTTTGGCGCATATAAAACTTATTTATGCCAAATTTTATCGCTATACTCGTATGTTTAAAACAGTTGTGACTGTTAAAGCTGTTTTTCGGGGGGGCCACTTGTATGGGGGATATGCGAAATTGTGGACCCATATTGTCCATTTGCAATACCAAACAAACCTTACCTATAAGAAATATTTGTGGAAAAATTTAACTCCCTTGCTCTTTCCGTTCTAACCCTATCGTGCTTTCAACAGACGGACGGACAGATGAACAGACGGATGGACATGGTTAGATCGCCTTAGAATTTAATACTTTTGTGGGTCTACGACCAATGTGTTACAAACGGAGTGACAAAATCAATATACCCCACTCATCTTTTTTGATGGTGGGTATAAAAAGCACTAAATGCACTGTCATAAAATTAGAAAGCACCACTGTAGTGCCTTTTTGAAAAAAGGCACCATGAGCAAAATTTTCCGCGTTTGGCACACCAAAAAGCACCGCAAATAGTGCTAAAAGCACTAAGTTGGCAACACTGTTTGGAAGGTGCAATTCCAAACCTAAAACTCTCTTTTACTCTTTCTTTTCCTCTTTTTCTAGTCCCTGTTCGTAGTGAATATCATACAAAACAATCCATTTCGTTGGAGCTCACCATTCTCACCGATGAAACTTAACACTTCATACGTCATTATAGACAATGATTTACCCTACATACGACCATTTGAGCTGATAATACGTGGCCTAGTGCCCACCTCCGACATTAGTGTGGGCAGCAATCCTACGGGTATGTTAAGCACACTAAGAAGTCAACCGGTTACATGTTGTACCCAGGGCTGTAAGTACTACTGCAATCAATTCGTTAGAATTATTAAAAATACTTTATTTTCCCCTTAGTACCTTTGCGAGTTGTACAATTAGGCAATAATACTTTTGTCACCTGGTCCCTGATTGCTTTGAATACTAAGAAATATTTTATTGTACAATTTTCCATCAACAATAGTAGTCCTGATCCGCAACGTGCAGTGTCACAGCCCTTGGTGGGCACTGTACAAATAGTCAATTTGAATGCTGAGGATATTTATCATAAATTAAGAAATATTGAAGCTTTAAATGCCAGCGAATCGCGCAGGGTTCTACAAAATGCCGTCTCCAGTTATAGTGATAATGATGCCACCTTATCGAATAATTTGGATGGGGAGGAGAATATCTTTAATTTGGTTCTACCTGGCAATGTAACCGGTTTAATGATGAATCATTTTACACGTTTGAAATTGCGAGTTTTACTGATAACCAGCGAAAATGAAAATCTGGCTCAAGATTTTCGTTATGTAGAATGGAAATCGGTAAATTATTTTAATTTTCTACTAAACAACAAAAATAAAAATGTTTTTCTTTCCAGATTGTTAATGATACTGGTGATGTTATAGCCATACCTTATCATTTGACCACCATAGAATCGCGCATGTTAATCTTTCATTTCCAGGAGGGTTTCAACGAATCCTGTGTACAAGTGTGTTATCGTCGTATACACTTTCCGCATATTATCGAGGAAAAACGAAAATGTGAAAAACATTCGTTAGAGCATACCGACATGGAAATAACAAATTTACATCCCAATACCCACTACAGTTTTCATTTTTCCAGTTGCGATACCAACATATTCTATGGACAAATGGATGTTGTGACTCTACAAGATCCTCCGGGTACTATAAATGTTCCAAATGTCACTAGACAAAATGGTTTGAAGTTGAACTGGGAACCGCCTTTGCAGCCAAATGGTAAAATACATCATTATAATATTTTATGGACTCTGGGTAATGTAACACATGAGGCTAATGTCTTAGATTGCAAAATTTGTTATTATAAGGTGGGTTTGTAAAAAATGAGGACTCTTTTTTCTAGAACTGATAATTTCTATTCTCTTAAATTTTAGTTTCCCAATATATCGGAATCGGCCAAAATTAATATTTCCGTTAGAGTGGTAGGTGAGACGGGTGTTGGTGCCCCCATTTCCATAGATTTACGCCACATCAATCATTTGTCTTTGGAAAAAGAAGGTTCAGGTTCTAGTTCTCAGGTTTATAGTGGCATTGCTATTGGTTCTTTACTCTCCATAGTTTGTATCTTTGGTTTTGCCATTTTAATTATGATACAAAGGAAACGCTTTAAGACTCGCCAACAAGGACCTACACACTTGTCCACACCCACCGACATACACTTTGGCAATCTCAGCAATACTGGTTTGCCCGGAGGTAGTGCTGGTGGTCTTAGTTCTACTACCATGCCACCAGATTGTCATGAAATGCAAAATCTTATACCTAAGGTGGCGGGCCGAAGAATTGATCTTATGCCCAGTGAACGTTCCAAATACGAGACCACCCAGCTGCCCAATGGCAATGGAGATGTGGCGCTTAAAGCCTTGGATAATCTGGAAAATACTAATAATTCCTCGATTTTAAGTGAATACGATATGGGCAGTGAACATAATCTGTCGTCGCAGCCATTGTGCAAGACAAGTCCCCATAAAAAATCCTCTAAAGTGGCCACCGTCTCGGAGTGTAGTGGCCAAACGACAACAAAACCCTTTTTTATACCCTTCAAAACAATACATCCCCACAGTGTGGCCATAGCGCAGAAACAAAGTTCCTCAACATTTGCGGCCAGTGTGCAAACACCGCCAAATTCCATAGCTTTAACTTTATCACCAGTTGAAACTATGAATAGCAGTTTTAGCTCACGTCGCAGCAATAGTTTAAGTAGCAGTAGTAATAGTAATGGCAGTTGTAGTACAGCCAATTCCATTAAGTCTAAACAGTTCCATGGTAATTTTCCTAAACATTCCACATCGATAGATGGCATTTGTCTATTGGCCGAAGAGCAGACGGCCTCAACACCAACGCCCACCTCCGAAACGGATGTAACGGCTGAGGTGCTCAAAAATGGTTTCCAACACAATGGAGAGGTAAGTGGAAAGTGTTAAAATCTCTAGCCACCACTTTAAATTATTTATTTTACAGCATTTCAATATGATATCAAGTCACTGTCCCACAAATCCATCCACTTCGAAAACCACTTCACCCACCACACGAACTTCAATATTTAAAACGAAACTCCACAATAACAATAATAAGAAAAATAAATCCAAAAAATCTACGAATTTACAAAATTCCTTAAGAAAAGAAAAACACCAACAACCTCAATCATCTAAATTAAAAACAACAGCGGCAACATTAACAACAACGAATTATCCTCATAACAGCGAGTTATCGTATATAGTTCCTGTCACTGATCCTTTAACAGACTCGGCATCAGTGTCCACAACTTCAAAATCGCTTAAAACTTGGTCACAACAACCTCTTACGACTTTTGCCACCACCTCAAGCGGTTTAGCAACGAAACATAAATATCCAAATATGGATCCAAATGGTTGAAATTTATTGGAAATTTTTCTTAAATTTTCTTAACGTGCACATTTCTCAAATTATTTTATTTTCTCTTCTGATTGCAAACAATAGGTAACACTTTTTTTCCTTAATTTAAAATTTACAAAACGACAACTAAAACAAACAAATCTCGAAACACAGTGATAATTTTTAAAAATATAACAAACCCAACATTCCATGAAGATAACATTTTATAAATGTTTAATATTTTTTTTAAGCATTAAACTATACATTTTATTTTAAGATTTATTTATTTATATTTTAATAACCAGAATACCAAGGTATTTAGATGATTAAGTTTAAGTTTTTATTTTTTCTATAATTTTATATAAATAATTACTTTGAAACCCACAAGTTTGTGGCAAAAACAGTAATTTCTAAACGAAAAGAATTTATTTTTTTTTTTGATCAGGAACAAAAATGTCATATTTTGCTGTTTCTTTAATTAATTCTTTTAAAGTTAGTATTCAGTGTTGTTAATACTAAAGAAATTTAAAATATTTCAATATTTTCAAAAATACTTATAATTAATAACAGTATTCAAAAACTAAGATTACCATATATCTTTATAAATCGGAAATGTTTGTTTTTTTTTTTTCTAAAAACAAACATTTCCTTATGATGAAAGTACATAAGAATCCGAACAATAAGAGATATGTGCCTGAAAGTTTCCTAAAATATTCTTTATTGATAGTATTTCTTTTGCATTGAAAACTGGCAATATCGGTCCACTGCACTGTGGTATAGAATAAACAAGTAAGAAGTATATATTAATCTTTGCCGAATTTTCAAAGATTAATTTTCCCGACTCTATCATTACTTTAGCAATAACAAAACAAAAAAACAACAACAAGAACGCAAAACGAATCAAAACACAAAAACAAAAAATTACGCAAAGCAATGAAACCAAAACATATGCAAACATACGTTTTTTTCCAGTAAGAAAAGTTGTTGTTGCTTTTATGTCAAAGCATGCAAAACATTTTCTTTTTGTGATGAAATTTTTAGAGCTCATAACTCCGTTATTTATGGACGAATATTGCTAATTTTAAATAGGAAACTTCTGGAATGCATGTCTGACAGAATTATTAAAGATTTCGATCACGAAGATATCTGTGTTCTTCAGAAATTTGAATTGAAAATTGAACAACAGATAGACAGATAGACAGACAGACGGATATTGCTTAATCGACTGCGCTATCTATAAAGATACAAAATATATATACTTTATAGGGTCGGAAAATTATATTGTGAAAATTACAAACGGAATGACAATCTTACATATTCCCTTCTCACGAAAGTGAAGGGTATAAAAAGTGGGAAATTATTTTGTAACTTCTTACATGTTCGTACGATTTGAATGAAATTTGACATGCGTAAAAAGGAAGTGTTTTCGAGTTAACATTTTGAGTTCGTAATTCATAAGGAGGCGGAGGCGCAGTCAGAGGACCGCAAATTGGTGGTTGGGATTTCATCTAACGAGTTCAAGACAAATTCAGGGGTACAGCAAAGCTTTGTTCTTCCCCTATTCTGCTTTTCATATTTATAAATGACCTTCTAATCTTATCTACTCTTTCGCCGATGACAGCAATATTTGCCATTCATACTCGTTCAATTACAGGCCAAGCTCTTTGGAGATTGGGGCAATGAGGCATAACATAAATGAATCGCTCAACCATGACTTAGTAACTCAATGACTCAATGTTTCATCTTGACTCACAAACGTATGGTAGATGATGTTATTCCATCCATATCATGATGATGTTGTTCCATTTATATCGTGAGTAGTGTAAATATTAAGGAATCAGAAGCCCTGGATGTTCTGGGCATGAGAAAACAGTTCGATGTCCACAGGACTAAACACGTTTTTCAAGTGTCGAAAGAATCATTCATGGTCCTTGGTTTTTTAAAACGCTGTTAGACATTCTTCAATCCATCTGACTTCCTCATAATTTATATCACTTATATCCGATTGAAAATGGAATACAACTATCATAAGGGCTGGAGCTACAAAGTCTATTTTGGAGCTACTCGACCGCATACAGGAGAGAGCGAAGGTACTCATTGGTGAGTACCTTCGCTAGAGCATCGTTGCTCTATGTATCCCTCTGATATTTGGGATGTTTTTGAGCAACATACATCTTTCAACAAGAACACACCCATTTGTAGTCGATTTGCCTGAGAATCATTAATCAGCCTAACCGTTCGTAAGTGGAATAGACTGTCACCTGAGGAATTCACCGCCACTTTCGATGTAAAAAGATATAAATCAATTGTCCCCAAACACTACTCCCTCTATCCTCCCTCCCACAGCCTATTTTCCTAGTTCCGACACATTATACTACATGAATTAGGGTCATCCCCTGAGTGCGACATTTTTCCATTTTTTTTTTTTTTTTTGGAAAAAAGTACTTTTCTTCCCATTCCATTTTTTGGAATTTTTCAATCCGTTTTTGAGATTTGTGATAAGAAATACTATCTTTGTCAAATATGGCCTCCGGTAGGTTAGTGGTTAGTGTTCTAGTCTGGTAGACTGAAGGTGTTGGGTTCGACTCCCACCTGAGGCACTGGTAGAGGAGCGCACAACAGGCCCGTTAGAGGCTTAGGTGTATTTCTTTGGTTTTGATGTATATACTATGTATATCCTCCTTTCAAAACTTACTAACAAACTACTCATTATCATGAAAAATTTTATATAAATGTAAAATTTTGCTAAAAATTTTTAAAAGTTTTTAAAAAATCTTCAATGAATTTCTTAATTGTTAAAAAAAATTATAAGTTCATGAAAACTACACTTAATTTCCAATCCATTGATATATAAAACGTCAAACTTTTTTTACACCTTTTCTTTAAACATGTGAAATTTCATTAGAATCATACAAACCGTTTAGATTCTAAACATTAAAAGTTATAGAAGTTATTACCCACCTTTTTATTTATATGCCACTGTGTCGCCAAATTCAATCTACAGTTGGCCCTATTCCCATATTACTAACAATATATGATAATACAATTCAACATGAAACTATTAAATTAATTAGTTTAAAATTCAAATAACATCAAATACTACAATTTGCGACACCTAGGCGTATGATGAATTTAATTTTGTCACCATATTCATACGCTCTAGAAAAAAAATGATTTTCGCATTAGCTTTAGTACTTCTTAAACTTTGAATACTTTCTTTAAAAACAAATAATATAATATTTAATACAGAATTTATTAAACATAATTTGTAATTAATCCATATATATATAATACGATTTTCATAAGATTGAGGCTAATTATATATTTATTATTATAATAAAAAAATATTTGTTTTATATTATAATTATAACATTTTTTTTTGTAAATTAATTTAAGCATGCCCCAAATATCATAACAACAACAAAAAACTTGCAATAGCCTAAAATCAAAAACCATTGATTGACCCTAAAACAAACACCAACAAATGAATAAAACCTTTTTAATAACTCCCTCCAACCCCTCAAACATTTGCAATAGTCAAACCATTTTTTATTTTAAATTATTTAGTATTTTTTTTTTTATATTAATTTATGTAATTTGTTTTAATTTTTATTATTATTATTATTGTCATTATTAAAAAATGTTTATTATTAAATTATACATAATTGTTGCATTCCTTATTTATATGTTTTTTTTTATATAATTATCATTTATAATGTTTTAACTATTATTTTAATTTATTTATTATGATTGTAATTGTTTTAAATTAAAATTGAGTTCATTTTTTTTTTGTTGCAAACCATAAAATTAAACCGAAAAATATCCAAAACGTACCTGATTGCAGTTTAAAAAAAAAAAGAAAGACAAACCACAAAAAGACAGTTTATTATTTATATATGTTGTATAATTTAAAATTTTCTTCTCTCATTTAACAGTTAAAGTAAATACGTGTTTATTAGCTTAGTGGCTAAATGTGCTAAGTCTACTTTTTGAAATTTTACAAATTGTTAAAGAAAATTTTCTCAAAAAATTTTAATAATTTCATACAGACTTAGCTATTGTATTTATTTAAGGTCATAGCTTACTAAGCTGATAACTTTTTTAAAATTTGATGTATTTTATTAAATTTTATTTAAAACTTTAAAATTCCACAAAAACAACTTGTTTGGGTATTTCAAAAGTTATTTTTATTCAATTCACATTCGGTATCGTAATTGTTACGAAAACAAAACTTTAATAAAAATACGACATACAACTATACAACGCTACGACACTAATTGTGAATTGAGCAATTTATTCATATTCATTACTATCATAAATAAATAGCAAGAAGTAGGGTTCTATAAATCGACTTTCGAATAATCGAACAATCGACTTTTTGTCGAAAAAAGTCGAAAAGCGAAGTCGACTATTTTGTTTCAAAAAAGTCGATAACTTGACTATGGTTTATGAAAAAAGACGAAAAGTCGACTATGTTAATAAAAGTCGAAAAAAGTCGATAAGTCGAAAAATGTCGAACAAAGTCGAAAAAAGTCGAAAAAAGTCGGAAAAAGTCGAAAACTCGAAAATTGCAATAGTCGAAAATCTTAAAAAAGTGGAAAAAAAGACAAAAACTCTCGAAAAATCGACTTTTCATAAAATGCAAAAAGTCGACTTTTAACTAAATGAAAAAAGTCGAAAAGTCGACTATTCGTTTCAACTATAGAACCCTAGCAAGAAGTAAGAGTCAAATTAAATTATTAATTAAAAAAAAGTAAAGTTCTTATTCATAATCATTTAACAAAGGTTTATAGAACACATTTTGTATATGAAAATTAATTCTCTAACTGCCTTATTCAAAACAATTTATCAAAGGTTTATAGTATATAGTTTATAGAACATATTTTATATGAAAATTTGTCTAATAAACCTTTGATAAATAGTTATGAAAAAGTCAGTAAACCTTTAATATGTTAATATGAGTAAGTTTCTAAAAATTTGGCATATAAAGAAATATCGACAAATTAACTAAATTTTTAATAAAAGAAAAAAATGTAAACAAAACAAAATTAATCATGAGTTGAGATGTGAGAAAAAAACAACCTGTATTCGAGTACCTCTTAAAATTACAAAAACAAAAA